CCACGCTCAAAAGGTTATATACTGTATGAATACATTTATTTGACTTTCTGGAAAAGGCAGAAATCAGATCAGTGGTTGCTGGTGGATGGGGAATGAGGATTGACTGCAAAGGGGCACAAGGGAACGTTTGCTATAGAATTATTCTGTATAGATTGTGTTCTCTATAGATGTTCTCTATAGATTGTGGTGGTGGTTAAACAACTCTATATAACTCATCAAACTGTACAATTTAAAAGGATGAATTTTATTGTGTGTAAATTAAACCTCAGTAAACCTGTCTTAGAGCCAACCCTGGTTATCTAGTGGTTAAGATTCGGTGCTCTCGCTGCCACGCCCTGGGTTCATTTCCTGAGTCAGGGAACCATACCACCCGTCTGTCAGTTGTCATACTGTGGTGATTATCTGTTGTTGTGAAGCTGAAAGCTATGCTACTGGGATTTCACATAGCAGCAGGGTCATTCGTGGTGGACAGGTTTCAGCAGAGCTTCCAGACTAACACAGACTAAGAAGAAGGACCTGGCCACCACTTCTGAAAAAAATTGGCCATGAAAACCCTATGAACAGCAGGAGAGCACTGTCTGATATAGAGCTGGAAGGTGAGAGGATGGCACAAAAAGACTGGGCAGGGTTCCGCTGTGCTGTACATAGGGTTGCTAGGAGTTGGAATTGGCTCCATGGGCACTAACAACAAAAATTTGTCTTAAAACAAGAAACAACGACAGATGGCTGAACCTTAAAAACATGCTAAATAAAAGAATCTAGACTCAAAAGACTATATGCTTCCATTTATATGAAATTCTAGAATAGGCAAAACTAATCTATACTGGAAGAAAGATGGATAGTGGTTGTCTAGGGGTGTGATGTGGGGAGCAGGGTATTTACCAGGAAGGGACATGAGGGATCTTTCTGGGGTGATGGAAATGTTCTGTGTGGGTTGATATGAGTGTCGGTTACATGGATGTATTCAATTATCAAGACTCATCAAATTGTACACTTAAGATCCATCCATTTCATTATATGTAAATTATACTTCAAAACGGAATATAGGAGTTAGGCTGGATTAAAGAGAAAGAGAGAAAGAGATCTGGTAATCTTTTGGATTTGGGAGGTGGTAAAGAGTATTTCTAGCTTTGGAGACTGGTGAATGGGGTTACCATTTTCCGAGATGAAGAATAATGGGGAAGCCAAACAAGTTTTGGGGAAAGATAATGAGTTATGTTTTGTTGAATGTTGAGTACCCGTGGGATATTCTAGTGAAATTGTCTAGAAGGTAGTTGGAATTATGCATTTGGTGTCTAGGAGATACTTGACTAAAGATATAGATTTGAATGTCATCATCATAGTATTAATTACAGCCATGAGAATATATGAGATCACCCAAGAAGAGAAGTAGAATTGAGAAGGAAAGAGACCTGAGGATGCCACCCTGAGCAAACCTCCCAGTGAATAGCTGGGCAGAAGAGAAGGAAAGAAAGGAGAGGAAGGAGAGGAGAATCTGAAGAGAGCAGTGTCCTGGAACCCCAGGGAGGAGAAGTTCCAAAAGTAAGGGGTGGTCAACAGTTTTAGATGCTTGGGCGTAGCAATAAGGTAGTCTTTGGTGATCAGACTGAGAACAGTTAATTATTAGAGAGTGGGAGCAGAAGCAAAATCTTATGGGATGGGGAGCGAATAAGCATTAAGAAAGTTAAGACAGCTAAGTGTAGATTGCTTCTTCTAGAAGCTTCGTTAAAGAAATAGGGAGATAAGGGCACTAATGTGAAGTAGGAGGTGGAGTCAGGCTTCTTCTTACCATTCACTAGTATAATGTTCGTTTGTTTTGATTTGGCTGGGGGCTGAAGAGAGTGTTTCTCATCAAGGAAAAATTTCCTGAGGAAATGTTGTTGAATAAGGTAGTATCAACAGTCCTTCAAAAATAACTTGCTCTTCTGTCCCTGTGAAGATAATGCGGAGGAGCAAAGAAAGTAGCTCTCAGAACTGGAAAAGCCTACTTGCCTGCCCTCTTTAACGACAGGAACACTGGTAGCTCTCATTCTGGATACTCAATTTTTGAAATTCTAGGCACTGCTGCTAAAACACACAACATTAAAAGGGGAGGAAGTTTAATATCCTCAGTACAACCTACACCTCACCTTTTAATGTCCACAGAAAAGACCAACCATAAGTTAAAAGGGTCATTATAAGGACTCTACTAGCCTGCCAAGGACCCAAATTCTTGTTCTTAAGCTGAATCAATTATTTTTAAGAGATAAACCTGATAAATGCTGTCTTTTCACCCTGTTCCTCTCCCCAGTTTCCAGCCTCCTAGGTGAGCTGGCCTTTGCACTGTGTTGTAATGCCATCCCACACAGTCTGTTTCTCCTCCCACTCCTAGGTGATGTACATCCACACCTGGCGCATGTGCAGACGTGGTTAGAGTCAAAGCTGATTTTGAGATAGTTTGATTTTGTTTAGCTGGGTAAAAATTAAGTTGGCACCGTAAAGGGTGTTGTCTGTCTTTGGGTCATTTTTTTTTTCTTACTTCCCAGAGTATTGGTTCTCAGCCTTTCAATTGAGATTTGTAGAATTAGCCTCTAAATTTGAGCAATAGTTAAGTAAATGTGTTGGCTTCTTAATGTGAGGTGTTTAAATTGTGAGTGTCCTTGATTATTATTCTGATTTCAGTTTGTCTTCATTTGTGGCAGATTCTGCAAACTGATCGATATGTGTATCAATTATTATTTTCACTGTGTTCCTCATACTATTCTTATTAATAATATTACCACTATGAAACAGTTGAATCCTTTGCTTCAGCTTTTAAAAACTGAAGAGAATGTTATTTTTCTTGAATCAGACTCACATTATATTCTCTCTTGCTTGTGTAATATTAACATGGACTTGTAGAGTTTGCAGGTAGGTTTTTCCTTTTAAATGCTTTATTTAGTGCTATATTACAAAAGATTTTTCTCAGATTAAAAATAAATATTCTGGGTCAGGCCTGGTGGCGTAGTGGTTAAGTTCGCGTGCTCTGCTTCGGTGGCCCGGGGTTCGCAGGTTCAGATCCCGGGCGTGGACTGATGCACTGCTTGTCAAGCCATGCTGTGGTGGCAACCCATACAAAGTGGAGGAAGATGGGCACGGATGTTAGCCCAGGCCAGTCTTCCTCAGCAAAAAGAGGAGGATTGGCATGGATGTTAGCTCAGGGCTAATCTTCCTCTCACACGCACATATGCACACACAAAATAAATAAATAAATAATAAATAAATAAATATATATTCTGTGGGGTGACTGCAGATTAGGTAAAATATTCAGAAGAATGTTCTGGCTGTAAAAGCTATGAGTTTGTTACCAAAAGAAGATAGGTGAAGGAGCTTTCTTTTCTTTACATTTTAAAGTATAGATAATATTTAATTTTTGTGTGGTTACATGAAGGTGAATCCCCTCTCAGACTCTTTTATAGTTTGTGATTATTTTTGCAAATTAAGTGGAATCCTAAATAATTACTATGGTAGCCAAGTCATTCTTGGAAACTTCTCTCTAGAGAGAATTCGAATATGAATGTCTACCTGAATCCATACTACGTAAATAAGAATTTTGGATGTAGGTTTACTGAACATACAGATATTGACAAATGATGATTAACAGAGAGGATAAAGGAAACCAAAAGGTGCTAAAGAAATATCAGAGAGAGAAATGACTTCCCCATGTTCCACAGTGAATAAATGGTGGAGTCATGAGGAGGATCCAAGTCTCTAGATTCCCATTCTAGGATTCTTGGTACTACATCAGACTTCCTGTGTTCTAGAAGAGAGTCTTTGGCACCATCGGTTTAGAAGCCTACATTTATTTTTCCATGTTTTTGAGAGATTTGAGAAATGGGAAAGTCTTTTTTGAAGTAAAGAAATTTGTTTCAAAATGAATTTCTAGAAAATACCTGGTTGTGTTCTGTGGGTGTGAGCTGTGGCCTGTGACCTCTGGTCGAACTGTAAGGAAGCTAGTCTTTTCTCTTGGAAAGAACATGTAAAGAGTTTATTTGAGGGACACAGAGTGGGATGTTTGGGAGTTACTGGGACTTCTGAAAATCTGATATATTTGATGTAAGTATACCAAGTAGGACTATGCACTATGCTTTCTGTAGAGAGGGTCTGATTAATAATAATAAGAGTAAAGGTTGCCAGCTGAGGTTCCAAAGCTAGCCTCTCATCCCTGCATTCTAGGATAAAAGCCTACTCATGGTTCTTGCTTTGCTCTTTGCAACAGTTGGGGAATTAGGGTAAGAGAATCAGTAAAGAATCCAGAACCCATGGAAATTTGATCTCTGGCTCCCTCCTTTAAATAATAATAGTAGTGCAAGATGGCTTGTCACAATCCTGCTGTCCTGCCACTAGCTCCCTCCTTTCTCTTCTATCTTTCTATGTTGGGCCAGTGTATTTTATTTTCTATCTTCAAAGGGAAATTGAAACCATAAGAGAGGGGAAACAATAAATACGTTTTATACTTAGATGTCTTCTTGACCTAGGTTGCAAAAGCAAGATCTTGGTTTAAGAAAGTGTGATGGAATCATACTAGAGAGATGCCTTCAGTAGATTTTTCTGTTTTCAGAGTGTGGCGGGGAAGTGGTGGGGGATAACAATCCAAAGCAAGCCCAAAGCACCATTGATACTGGATGTACTTGTTGCGTTCCTGTCCCAACGTTTTTTTTACCCATAAGCACAGCAGAATCTTGCTTGTTGACTCTCCTAGAGTCAGGTCACTTTGTGTTTAGAATTCAAGAATGTTAATAGAGTGGATGATAAAAAAAAAAAAAACAGTGGAATTTTATTGCATTGTTTTCTTATTATCTCCAGAGCTTGATTAATTTCTCTTGAACTGGAAAGATTCTCTGCTTCTACTTCCACTTATTATTTATACTCAGCAAGTTTCTAGGGCTCTGGTGGAAGTTGATTGGATTGAATCTTCCAGATCTTTATTCGGTTGTGACATGGAAAATGATCTTGTATATTGTGTTATGTTGTATTTCCAGAACTCTATGGCTTTGATGTGCTCATAGATTCTACTCTGAAGCCATGGTTGTTGGAAGTGAATCTCTCTCCTTCTTTGGCCTGGTAAGTACTCTGTTCCATCAACTAGAAAAGGACAGACCTTCAATGAGTAGCACTAAAAAACACTTTTTTTTTTGGTTACGTCTCTTGGCACTAGGAGATTTTTTTCCCCCTAGTTACTAGATAGAGATGACTAGAATTTCTAAATTTGGGGGTTTTGTGGTTTGTTGTCCAAGTCCATGTGACAACCATGAATCCCTATCTTACTAGTCAATTTGCCATCTATGTTTACTGTCTTATTGGGCTCCTAAGGGATGCTTCTTGCATTTATTTTTATCCCCACTTCTCTCTTTCTCTTTTTTTTTTTTTGGAACTTTATACATGTTCTGCTAAGGCCACACAAATACATGAGGTATTATATTTCCTTTATTACCAAAGGTTTATACAGACTCAAATCCACGTATCCATAAAGGTGTATAGAGCTGGGCCCAGGGTAGTGTAGATCATATCTGGTCCTTTTGCTCTGTCCATGTCCTGGTATCCATCCAAGATTAAAGTCCCAAAACTTTAGACAATCTTTAAAAATTTTTTTTAACCTATCCGTTGTTTAGAAGAAGGAAAGAAACATATTTTTCAGTATCAGAGAAGATTCTGCTTATATCTGCAGCTACAGCCAGAGTTTCTATTAGCTATATGCTTCTGTAAACAGCTAGAGACCCTAGAGATTTATGCCAGAGACCACCCAGCTGCTGCATTTTTAAGGATGAGAAATGTTGGCAAATGCCAAGTAATCAAATGAAGACGGATTGACTACTTTGTGGGGTGAGAGTTTGGCTTAACCCCAATAGTAAGTTGTAGAGCTAGATATTACAGATGCTTCAGATATTGTGCTACACTTTTGTTAAGTCAGCTTTTTGCAGATTGCCGAGCAAGGTATATCATGCAGTATTAGAGATCCCCAGAGTGATGCCTTGGATCCAGCAGCTGGAGTACTCTGATTCATGGAGGAACACCTCCAATGTGTTGGCCAAAGCCAACACAGCAGTCACTGCCACAGAGAGGCCTCCAACTTTCAGCCCATGTTGTTTCTGTTTCTGTGTGTGTTCTGCTGCATCGTCTGGTGATATTTTGGGATAACTTATATTTTTTTGCGCTCATTTGCAAGCCTGCAAGCTTAAGAAGATTGATTTAGAACAGAAAATGAAGCCTTAAAAAATGTACAAAGATGGCCAAAGTTCCCTCTCTTGCATATGAATGTGATTTGAGTATTGCAGCAGTAAAAACTAATTTGGATGTTGGGCTCAGTCATAAAAGAGCATATTAAATATTTGAATCTCTAAAATCTGCAGTGATAATGAAGCAGTATTCTTGACTTGTGCAGAATTTGAATTGCACAAGACCTTCTGGAATAAAAAGATTGCATGTCAGGGAATCAATGTCTTGGTGCTGGGCCTGCCCTACAGAGGATGAGTTTAACACCAGGCTTTTATTTCTAGCATTTTTGCCCAGATTTCTTTTTATTTTTCCATGGATTTGGTGAGCTTTATGTGTTGCTCCTCATTGACATCTGGAAGCTTTGCTGTTTTGGAGCCCGTTAGGGACAGCCATTCTGTTAACCTATAAAATTATCGATTGCTCTTTTCTGTCTCTGTTCTGTTAGTGATGCACCTCTGGACCTAAAGATTAAAGCCAGTATGATTTCAGATATGTTCACTGTTGTAGGTGAGTAGTAATGTTTTCTGAAAACTCACATAAAGGTTAACCAGAGCGTCCATTTTGTCAGACTCTATAGGTGTTGCCAACTGGCAGTTCCTAAGCCATGCTGAATGTTTTGTACTAAAAAATTATATTTTCAGGGAAGTGTTTATATGTTTCTGTTCCTCCTGGCTCCATCCTGTCCTGAGGCTGAACCACAACCAGGGCTGAGACCTAATTCCTGGGGCATAGGAATTCTGAGCTGAGGAAGAGAATTAAGCAAAGATCTGGAGAAAGTATATTTTTCTCTGAGCTAAGATAGTGAAACCCACTGAAGAAGCTTTGTTACTACAAAGGAAACTGGCTGCATTTCTGCTAGACAGCCTCTACTGGTGTCAGCATGATCCTTTCTGCAGTAGTTATAACTGAAGCAGCCCAAGGAAGAAAGCCCTTTTTGAGTAGATAAGCCAAAACTTTGAAATGGAGATGAGCAGTCAGGTGGGTCTGTTGTAGGTCTGTGGCTGTTATTTTTTTAAGTACTCTAAAAAGACATAATAAAATGTTTTTGAAATAAACTAGTATTTGCTGTACCAGCAAATGCTGTACAACTTAGCTACTCTATTCTACGTGGTTGGGAGTCTGCTGCTTTTTAGGAAGTGAAATTAGCCCAAGCCTAATTTCCTAAGCCATAGACAATCTACAAAGCCCATTTTGAAAGTTGCCAATAGACCGTCTTCAGCAGTTCCAGAAGTGGATCTTGTAACAGGACAAGACCCCTCACTTGCTTGTGGATTCTCTTGGAAAAAGATTATTTTCCAGTTCCCATCCAGAAAGCTACTTTAAAATAATTTGTTTTTATTGACAACCGTATGTTTTTAAATGGTGGTTTGCACCATTTCTCTGAAGTTCATCAAAAATCTACATCTCTTTTTCTGTCAGAATCACATTCAAGCAGAGTGTGTATGGGAGAGTCATGCCCAGTCCTCTTGAGGATGGATCTCTGTAATATTTATGACAATGAAGCTGAGTTTGTACATCTAAAGAAAAGGTGCAGCTAAACCTGTTAATTTCTTAGAAACTCCTAGGTGTTAATGTTTCCCATTCCCCATTCAGGATTTGTGTGCCAGGATCCTGCCCAGCGGGCATCAACCCGGCCAATTTATCCCACCTTTGAGTCTTCCAGGAGAAACCCTTTCCAGAAACCTCAGGTAAGCAAATTCAGCAGCAGGGAACCCGAAGGAGGCTTATTAGAAAGTGGGCGCTGATGTAAATGAGTGAGCCGAAGCACTGTGGATATGAGGTCACTTAGAGCAGGAGGATTTGGGGATCATTCTAGACAGAAGGCAGTTATATTCAGCTGTGGCTGATAGCTTATGCTTTCAGACAAACTTACTGTCTGCTTTTTTTTTTTTTTTGGCTTCTTTTTTCATTATATTTCTTTTTTTCTTTCTCTTCTTAAAAATCATCCTCTTTTTTCTCAAATTGATGCGTTCGTAAACAAGGCACAGAGAGGGAGCCTACAAATTCTTAGTCGTTACTCTGCTACATTCTTTTTGATCTTTAGACTAGCTTCATAAAGAAGATGCTCAATTGAAATAATATCTTCTCTTCAAAAGGACCCTCAGTGATCATGAGGTGTTGATTGACGTAAAATGAGATAAATGCCTACAGAAACGTGTGCATGTCTGAAACATCATTTGATCAAGCATTGTGCCAGTCCTTGTACACTCTGCATTTTTGTTCCAGTTAAACTAATCAGCTAATCATTCTCTCTACTCATCCCATCTTCTAATCAGTCCCTGCCTGTCCAGACCTGGCTAGTGTCCACTTCTGTTTCTTTGCCTTTAACATTTCTTCTTACCTAAAAGGTCCACCTTCCTCCTCTCTTCCCATCTGGATTGGTTACCTCGCCTGCTTAGAAGTTGGGAGATCATTTCTTATTAAATCCATCCACTGTGTCGTGACCTTTACTTTTCATTTCAACATCATTTACTTGTTCTCTGTTGCATTGTTTTGCATTCATTGATTGGTTGCTTTTAAATTGTCCAGTACTCCCCTGCTAGAGTGTAAGCTCTTTGAAGGCAGAAACAGCTTCTTCCCTGTCCCTCCTCCTTCCCTTTCCCCTCACCCCCTATCAATCATCCTCCACCTTTGCATTAGCCCTCCACCCCTCTCTCTTCTCCTCCTTTCTCCTGCCACTCCCCTTCCTCCTCTTCCTTTTGCTTGCTGGTCTCATTTAGAGTAGTGCTGTTTCTGTTTGCCAAGCTCATATACGATTATGTATTCAGATAACTTTTCATTGGAACAGGGTTTGCCAACTCAAATGCCTCTAGGGGCTGTGGGTAGACTATGTAAATGAGTAAATAGGGCCAGGTATAATAGAGCTAAGAGTGATGTGACTGAGGTAAACTGGAGAGTGCATGCCTCGTATAAAAAGGGGCAGCTGCTTTACTAATGTGCCCTAGCTGAGCACTGCCGTGCCTGAGTGTGGGCCCAGTGTTGTCAGATCTTCCAACTGTCAAGAGAAATCATAAATCTTATTGTAAAATATTGGCAACGAGTTCAATTAAAAAAATACTTGGCAGACCAAACATAGCGTGTCTTTGAGCTGAATTTAGTCTTTGGGCTACCTGTCTGTGACCTCTTGCTCTAGAATTATTCCCTATTGGTATTAGTATTATGATGTGGAAAAGGGTGTATGATATTTTAAGGGGTATTATCTTGGATTAGAAGTAAAACCAGGCAACAAGATTGTACTTAATCAGTACATCATCACAGATCAAAGGGTTTTCTTTAATTTTTAATAAGAAGTAGTAGAGGATTAACCTAAATGTACTAGGAAAACTGGGTTTAGGCAATCACATTCCTTTGCAAATTATTTCCTGCAGTATCTGTGGTAAGAGCCACAGAATTGCGTGTAAAGGATTGTGAATGTTTCTGTGCAGCTTTGACAGAGTCTCTGCCAAGTTTCACTCTAGGGCTAGCTGTGTGTCAATCTTGGATGAATTGATCTCTTTTCTTAGTTTGCCTGTCAGCTTTCATTGGCGACTCTTTGCAAATAGAGAATCTATTCACTATTTGTTTTGCTAACTTGTAAGTAACAGCGTGGCTTCATCCATAAGTCACCTACAGGACACTTATTTAAAGGCTAAAGAAACTGTAGATGAGTTATTGTACTGTGTGAAACAAATTTAACTTCAGGTCCTCAGTCTGTGACAGTTAGGATTGTGCTCTCAGTGGTGAGGAAGTGAAACTGGAATAGATACACTGTAGGAGAAAGCAGTGTGAAAAATAAAGAATGCTCTGATCTTCCAAGCACAAAGTGTAGGGCTCTTCCTTTTGGTCTCTGCTTGGAGATCATTTTTTCCTTTTTTATATCATAAATGTAGGAGTTGGAAAATACAGGCATGTTAGGAGAAGATAAGGCTTTATTCCATTTTTCTGTCTTTTATAGCGTCCGGTATCTGCACAGTTTCAGTCATGTTTCAACGCCAAACAGGTAAGTTCTGGGTCATTTGGAGACTTCATTCAAGTTTTTACTTCCATTCCCTAAGTGGACAGTCTTTTAGCTTTACTCTTTCACAGTACATATTTCATGCACCTGCTTTATGAATAGTTTAATAACATAAAATAGAATATGTAAAAATGAATGCACACAGAGGTCTTTTCAGATACAAAATAAAGAGTGGAGGTTGCAAGAGTTTATGAATCCTTTTTCCTGATAGTGCTTATGCTGTGATGGAGGCACTTGAATTTAAATAATGAGCAGGGTTTAGAGGTCTATCTATCGCTTTGACCAAAATATTCCAGAAAGAAAATATCATAGTTCACAACTAATCTTTCTTTTGCTCAGACGTCTTATGAAACGTACTATTGTCAGTAGCTTAGTACTGGAAACGTTTTTGCATTGGGTATTGTGCTATATTTGAGTTTCTTAGATGAAATTTCTTATATGTAGTGATTTGTAGTTTTAGGAATCTTAGAAACTCTGCCATAATTAGGGTCTCAGATGCTACCTTTAAAATAAGGACAAAATATTTTATCTTTGTCTCTTAATGATCAGCATTTGCCCTCTTACTGTTCTTATTAGCAGTATTTGAGATTAACTGTCGTTTTCTTCTATGCAGATCTTTTTTTTTTGTTTTTTACATCTTTCTGAAGTGATAGCATGGCTGTGAGGGTCCTCCTCCTGCTGTTTGATGCTTTGATATGAAGGATGTGGATGTTCTCTTACATAAGTGTGTCACTTGCAACTATTAGTTCTTTAGCAAAAAGCTCTGCTGTATTTATTTTGGTGTTTGTGCTCTCTGATAGTTTCTGGTAAGCTTCGAAGCTTGAATTGTAACTCTCTTAGCTACTGTTTTTTGATAAAATGATTTACCTTGTTTATATGAATCCAGGAAATGAAAAAAAAAGACTTACTGGTTGTCTAGTATTTGATAACTGGTTAATGTGGTTCTGTAATACAAGTTTTGGTGTTTAGTTGGTAGAATTAAAAACTCTGTAATATTAGTGTTTTATATTTAGCAAGTACCTAAGAGTGCTAGCTGCTCTCCATGGCAGAAAAAACAAAAAGAACAAGGCTGTTGACTTCAAAGAGCTTACATTCTAAATATCTCTTGAACTAATCTACTTAAAGAGAACATGAAAAGTACTATTTCATAGCCTTCTGAATTTGACTCCAAATATTTTGTGATGTGTAATTCTAATCTCAATATCCCTACCCATTTTAATTCTGTTACATCTAGCTCCATTGCTTGAATTGCCACAGGTTGCAATAGCCTGTGGATGAGCAGCACTCTCTCTAGTAGTTATGTGTTTGCACACTGCTAACATAACACAGAGCCTTTCTGGCTTTATTCAGCCAATTTGTATGTGTTGAATTCTTTGGCTCTTACTGTTTTTTGCAATGTCCTGTTTGTCACTGTCTTGCTGTTAACGAAGCACTCTCAACTCCACAGTAGTTTTGTCAGAGCTAAGTGAAAAAAGAGCAGAAATTCTCTGCTCTGGCCATTTAGACTATGTCAGATTTTCTTTTTCTGTTGTCAGATTGTGAAGTCACAGTTTTTTACCTGTTGTCTGACTATTCCTTTTTAATCCATTCTCTCTTTCTACATTTCTCCCTTCCGTTGAATGCCTATGGTTTAAAATTTTCACTCACCAGAAATTACTTTTTAGTGTTCCAAGGCAAGTGGCATGGTTTTGTGGAAAGAACATGGACTTTAAAGTCAACAGACCTGGGTTCAAATTTGAGCTCTTTCGATAACTAGCTGTGAGACCTTGGTCAGGTCCCCTTACATCTCTGAGGCTCACTTCCCACATCTGTCCAATGAGGATAATAATACATACATGGAGTTATGGTAAGAAAGAAATGATAAAACATAGGTAAACTATTTGGGATAGTTCTGGACACTCTTGCCCTCAGAAGCTTTAGTCCCTTTCACATGTTTGAGTCCTATTTTGGTTTTCCTTTTTCCATTGTCAGTATGTGGTGTTGTTATTTTGATATCCATTTATCTATAGTCTTGTTTTTTCACATTTGCTCTCATCCACAAATGCAGATTAACTAATTAATTTATTTATTTATTCATCCTCCCAGACATTAATGAAGATAATAATGCTTAATCAATACCCATTCTGGAAATCACTTCCTAACTTGATTCACTGCCATTTATCTTATCCTATAGTGACATCTTTTAACTGTTTTCAGTTTTTGTTGGTGTATTATTCGTTATATCATGACACTAAGCCCTGATTGGAAATATAATTAAGAATAAAAATTTTATGGAATTTTCACAAATGCTTGTCTAAAATCCAAAGATATTAAATATATTTGCTATATTCCCCCTTTTTTGTAATTTTGTCCTAAAAATCAAAATTTTAAAGCATGTTTTAAAATAAATAAAGCAATCTCCATCCTCCTATTCTTCATGAGCCCATTAAACTCTAAATGTTTATGGATTTTTTCCTTTTAATGTTTGTTCCATTATTTTACTAGGGATTCGAGTTAGACTTACCAGGCGATAATCACCAGGAGCATACTTCTTACATTTTTGAAGATTGGTACCCCATTTGTTTTTTTCTAATCTTCTGGTACCTCCTCAGTTCTTCATGATTTTTCAAACATAATTGTAAGTGGTTTTGGTAAGTTTTTTTTTTAGTTTTAAATCCAGTTCCCTTCATAACAAGGTGCATGTCTCTCAGACCTGCTGATTTACATTTATTCCAAATTTCCAGATGTTGCATCTCCTTTTTTACTGTAGCACAAACCTCCTTACTTATTTTTTTTTTTTCCTAATTTCAAAGTATACTTCTGGTTATCATTACATGATAAACAAGGTCAACTTTCTCTGTTAGTCATTTTTTGTTTATTTCTGCCCAGATTTATTCATATGTGGTCCTTTTGTTCATTTTCTTTCATTTGATAGCATTAATTCATTTTGCTTTTTAAACTTGCCTTTACCTTTCATTTTCTAGATGACAAGATGCATCACATATAAATTGAGCTATTTCTAGTTCATTTATTTTTGACACAGAATTCCAAACTTTGTAGAACCGCATTGGGAGATTTTATTCTTTGCATGTGTTCTCTGTCAAACTGATTTCATTTTTGCCTCTCAATTATGATATCTCTTAGGACACGTCACCATTTTTCATATTCCTCATTTTGTCCAGTTCTTCTCATAATGGTACTTTACAGCTTTCTTTAGGCTTAGAATCTTTTTTTCTGATTCAACATCTGTTTCTTACTGCTTTGAGTGGGGACAGGTGGTTCCTTGTCTCAATTATTTCACATTCTCAGTTCTTCCCTAGCAATAAAGGTTAGATGTGTAAAGGTTTCTTCTCTGGGTATATTTCTGAATCATAGGTTGTACTAATGATAATTTAACATCTTTGATGCGTGTTGCATGGTAGAATTCTTACTTGCACAGTAATTTGGCAGTTTAAAGTCTATCTGAGCACCCAGTAGTTGAAATCATGTGTCATCCAGCCAGAGGCCATGGTTCTCTTTAAGTTCAGAGGAGCTTTATTTCCTTAGTGCCTTCAGTCAATTCATTGGAATATGTGGATTTATTCTGTCTCCCAGAGAATGTCACTGAGCTGATATGCCCAAAGTCAAAACGACAGAAGACTTGCTGGACTGTTTTGTTTTTGTTTTTGACAGTCCTGGTGGCCTTTCAAATCAGTCTGATTCCTTTTTTCTTTTACTTTGCTTTTAATCTCCAGGTATGTCTCCTTGGCATCTATAAGCGTTTCTATTTTCTTTCTTTGTTATCCTTTCTTTTCCCCTTTTCTCTCTGCCTTTTCTCTAACCTGTGTCTGTAATTCGGGCCACATTCCTTAGTAGTTCGTTTCATTAATGAATATTGGTGGGATTCAGCCAGTGGTCTGGGATGGTAAAGCTTTGTTGTTCCTGTATAAATACGTTTCTCTATAAACCAGCACAGCAGATACTATGTTGATAAAAAAAAAATTTTCTCTAATCTCAAATTTATTGAAAAGCTGAGATTGGCAAAATACTTTTGACTTTCTAGTCTGATATTTTCCAGTAGCTTCCCCAAAGACACAGGCAACCTAGGTGGATTTTAGAGAGGCATTTGTGATACAGTAGCTACAGCTTTTCATCTCTCTCCCTCTCAGCCTTCTTAATAGTTTAGATTGAAATAAATAAGTGAAGAGATTAAAGGCATTTCTAGCCACATTTTTTTCCCTTGGGGTGACATTGACCTTTTCTTTGCAGCCTGGTGATATTCGTGGCAATAAAAGAGTGAAGGCATTAGCCTATGGGAGTTGACAGCTGGGGCATTCAACTAACAAGCACCATTACCCCTTAGCCCCTTCCTTTTTCAAACCTCCCAAATGCCCCAGCCAGGGGCACCTGCCTGAATTCCGACATGCCCCACCCAAACAGCCCACATAGATGCACACAGTAGCTCGAGTTAGAATTGCGGGCTGTGAGTAACAAAAGAGTGGTTGTGAATGTGTATGGGAGACAACTCTTTGAAAGTGACTGGAAGAGAAGGTTGAGATTTTGGGTATTAATTCATTGTTTATGGGAGCAAGTTTAGATTAGTAGAGGCAGGTTGCAGCATCATTATAGTCTCAATCTCTGGAAGCCAGGAATGTGGTTCCATCATGAAGCAGTTCCACAAAGATGAAAATTAGGTTCTAGAAAAGCAAAAAAAATTTACAATAAAAAGATAAAAAAGAAAAATAAACAACAAATAAGAAAATATAACAATTAATAAAAAACAGACCAAAAAATGAACAAAAACAAACAAAAAGACAAAAACAAAAAAAATTTAGAAAACAAAAATTGGAGATGCTCATTAGATGTTATTCAGTGGTGGTTTGATCCATGTTATAAATATGACCATGCATTCCTTAAAACTGTTCTAGTAGGTAATAACTATTTCTTAAAATATTTTGGGTTTTTTTTGGTGAGGAGGATTGGCCCTGAGCTAACATCCATAGCCAATCTTCCTCTTTTTGCTTGAGGAAGATTGTCTGTGAGCTAACATCTGTTGCGAATCTTCCTCTATTTTTGTATATGGGATGCCGCCACAGCATGGCTTGGCAAGTGATGTGTAGGTCCATGCCCGGGATCCAAACCTGTGAACCCCAGGCCGCCAAAGCGGAGCTTGTGAACTTAACCACTACACCACTGGGCCGGCCCCTTAAAATATTTTTATTAACTTTTTAATACAGATTTTAGTTTATCAACACTTCTTTTTTTTTTTTTTTTTTTTTTTGAGGCAGATTGGCCCTGAGCTAACATCTGTTGCTAGTCTTCCTCATTTTTTCCATTTTTCTCCCCAAAGCCCCAGTAGATAGTTGTATGTCGTGGTTGTACATCCTTCTAGTTGCTCTATGTGGGATGCTGCCTCAGTGTGGCTTGATGAGCAGTGCGTAGGTCCACATCCAGGATCGGAACCAACGAAGTGGAATGCGCGAATTTAACCCCTACGCCACCAGGCCGGCCCGTATCAACACTTCCAAATAACATTTTTTCTATTGTAAAATGCTTAATTGTTATTTTTTTTTATTACATCATTTAAATAGATGCTTACTTCATACTCTCTTTTTACATAACTTCAGAGGACTTTAAGGTACTCTTAAAGAGTGTGAGGTGATAAGGCACCTTGACTTTGGAGGATTTCCTGCCAGTGGCTTTCTGTTCAGAGCCATGCTGTTACATGTAAAGTAGATAAGCATTTTTTGCAAACAATAAGTAGTATGTGAAAATGAGAAAAATCCTCCAGGCATCCATTTACATTTTGGCTTTTTCAAATTATAAGTTAAATAAGCATTCACACTTTAAAGTTTTTTTTAATGATTATATTACTTAAGTTGCTTCCCTTCCTAAATCTTTAAACTCTCCCCTTGATTCCCCTCTCATCCCAAAATGTACCGTTTAATGTATTGATTACATTAAACAGTATTAATTAATGTATTAAAGAGAAATTGGAAGGGAGTTAAAATTTTTCCCAAAATCCTCTGCGGAGTTTTATTCTTTAATAATTTTATTTATTTATTTATTTTTTTCCCCAAAGCCCCAGTAGATAGTTGTATGTCATAGCTGCACATCCTTCTAGTTGCTGTATGTAGGACGCGGCCTCAGCATGGCCGGAGAAGTGGTGCGTCGGTGCACGTCCGGGATCCGAACCCAGGCCGCCAGCAGCAGAGCGCATGCACTTAACCGCTAAGCCATGGGGCCGGCCCTGCGGAGTTTTATTCTAACCATGATTAATCTGTGTGTCAGCACATTCATTCATCTATTAGTTCAACAAATATTTATTGATCTCCTACTCCATGCCAAGTACTCAACTGGTTGCTGAAGATACCATAGGGAAAGCTAAACAGAGCAAGTCTTTGCCTTCACATGTTGCTTATATCTGCTGATGTCATGGTTTTTCTTTATATTAGTATCTCATCATGGAGTTGCCTATTAGAAAATCTATTTTTTATAACTCCCATGCTAGCTTTGAAGATTAGTATGTATTGGTCTCCCTTGTGTCCAAAGGTAAAACCATTCATGGTTATTTGTGTACAGAGATGTATTAGTCTGCTTGGGCTGCCATAAAAAAATATCACAGACTGGGTGGTTTAAATCACAGAAATTTATTTCTCACAGTTCTGGAGGCTGGAAAGTCCAAGATCAAGGTGCCACCAAGATGGCTTTTGTTCTGGGGCCTCTCCTCTTGGCTTGTAGGTGTCCACCATCCAGCTGTGTGCTCACATGACCTCTTCTTTGTGAGTGCTTGGGCAGAGACAGAGTACAGGTTCTCTAGTGTCTCTTCTTTTGAGGGCACTGATCCCATCAGACCAGAGCCTCACCCTCCTGAGCTCATCTACCTTTAATCACCTCCCAACAGCCCCGTCTCCAAATACCATCACATTATGGGTTAGGGCTTCAAACATATGAATTTGAGGGGACACAAACATTCAGTCCATAACAGTGAGTATTGCTGAAAAAGTCAAAAGTTGATTACCAAAATGCCTTTCCATAAGTAATATACACAAAGAGAAAAATAAACAGTAGCTCCTGACAATGGGGCTTCTTCTCTGTGATCAGAGTTACTTCTTGGGATCTAGAAAGACAATTTATACCCACATTTCTTGAATTATTTCTTATTCTTCCTACTTGGCAGATTTGTCTATTTTATCAGTTACTTCATCTGTTTCAATAATAATGTATTCTCATGCTTCATACCTGACTTCTCTTGTTACCTTTATATTTCTGTGCTTGCGTAACATCAAACTCACTTAAAACTTTTGTTCCCAGATGACCTTCCTGATCATCATTTAGAAGGTGAAATAGCCCGGATCATCTCTGGGGATCTGTGATGAGCGTGGCACATCTGGCTGCCTCCTTGGTAGTGCCCAGGGCAGTCTTTCTTTTTTTTTTTTTTTTAAAGATTTTTTATTTATTTTATTTTGCCCCCCCAAAGCCCCAGTTGATAGTTGTATGTCGTAGCTGCACATCCCTCTAGTTGCTGCATGCGGGACTCGGCCCCAGGATGAACGGAGAAGTGGCGCCTCGATGCGCACCCGGGATCCGAACCCGGGCCACCAGCATCGCAGCGCGTGCACTCAACCACCAAGCCACAGGGCCGGCCCGTAGGGCAGTCTTTCTTGATTCAGGTCTCTTGAAGTCCAGCAGCCACCGTATTTCTCAAGTTGTAGCCTTTTAGTCAGCTCTTTTCTCTGTCACTGATGACTCTCATCTCAATATTTCCCTCTCAAGTTCTGAAACATCCCACAGCCCAACTTTTTGATCGGTGACAATAATAGATTGCTCCTTGGTTTTCTGTCTTATGTCTCAGTTCTTTTAACTCTTCTTCCCCAGTGTTGAAAAGAATTTGGTTACTTACTGAAATAAATACACATTTAATTTTATATTGAGGTTATTTTCGGATTTTTTTCCACATCCTTGAAAATATTAAATGTACTCTAAACAAAGATTAGGAGTAGGTACAAGCTTAGAAAGCCATGTGGACATCTTTCTTTTTTTTCTACTTGTTTCTCTCAACCCTTAGTGTTTTCCTCCTATTCTGTTTTCTCTTCTTGCCTTTGAGTTTATTAGCTTTCATCTATTTTCTAGGGTTTCAGGCTAAGAGATTAATTAAGAGATGGGCTTTGGATTTTAGCTTATATGTATGAGGAAAGATAATGAGGTTGAGGGACTGAATGGAGGGAAATGAAGAAAGATGGTGAAAACTTTTGTTGGTTTTTCTGTTTTGTTTTCCCTTCTCCTTAGCGTTCCCGTCCACTCTCTGCCAGTGATGCGGAAATGAAAAACCTTGTGGCCTCAGCCCGGGAGAAGGTGCCGGGGAAGTTAGGTGGTTCTGTGCTTGGTCTGTCAATGGAGGAGGTAAAGATAACTCCCTTTCAGGCCTTTGTGGGTTAACACAGGGTTCAGTGAAAATTAGTGAGTCATGGGGCAGGCCCCGTGGCGTAGTGGTTAAGTGCGCATGCTCTGCCACTGGCGGCCCCGGTTCAGATCCCGGGCGGGCACCGAAGCATCGCTTGTCAGGCCATGCTGTGGCGGCGTCCCACGTAAAGTGGAGGAAGATGGGCACAGATGTTAGCCCAGGGCCAGTCTTCCTCAGCAGAAAGAGGAGGATTGGCATGGATGTTAGCTCAGGGCTGATCTTCCTCACAAAAAAAAAAAAGAAAATTAGTGAGTCGTTCATAATATTTATGACCAACTCATATCTTATATTGAGAAGAGAAAGATTCAAGACGGGAGAAATTTCTTCTCAGAAAACAGCATGTTAAATGGAATTAATTCCTCCCTTTGTGCTTCTTTCATATTCTTGGGTCATAACTCTCTTCCTCTGTCCTATAATCACATGGATTTCAGTTTTAAAAACAGATACTCATTTTATTTTATTTTCTCTTCCTCCATGTAGATCAGAGTTTTACGGAGGGTAAAGGAAGAGAATGATCGGAGAGGTGGATTTATTCGCATATTCCCTACATCAGAGACATGGGAAATATATGGGTGAGGTGACTACCTTTTTTTTAAGATCTGTATCTCAGGCCTACAGAATTGGATTAATTGTGACTCAGTGTCGTCATTGCTCCCCATGTGATGCCTTTCTTATTTATTTATAATAGTATGAATATTACCCAACTCAAGAACTAGAGCTTTAACAGTAATTTAATCTACTTGTGCATTATTCCTCTTTTTTTTTAATCCCCTGCCTCCCTCCTAACTAGCCCCCTAACCCAGGGTTAGACACTCTCCAAAATTTTGTGGTTATCATTACCTTGATTTGAAAAAAAAATTATTTTATCACCTATATGTGTGCCTAAATGATATATTGTTTATTTTTAATCATCATTGAGATCTAGTTTACATGCAATTAAATGCATCCATTTTAAGTGTACAGTTTGATGATAAGTTTAGACAAATATGAACACCAACATAACCACCACCATCACCACAATCAGAATATAGAATATTTCCATCACTTCCAGAAGTCCCCTCATGCCCCTTTAGAGTCAGTCCACCTCATTACCTCGAGCGTCAGACAGCTACGGATCTGCTTTTTTTTTTTTAATTTTATTTATTTATTTTTTTTCCCCCAAAGCCCCAGTAGATAGTTGTATGTCATAGCTGCACATCCCTCCAGCTGCTGTACATGGGATGCGGCCTCAGCACGGCCAGAGAAGCCGTGCATTGGTGCGCGCCCGGGATCCGAACCCGGATCGGATTCGGAGCAGCGGAGCGCACGCACCCAACCGCTAGGCCACGGGGCCGGCCCATGATCTGCTTTTTTGACTATAGTTTTTCTAGAATTTCCTATAAATGGAATTATACAGTATGTACTGTTTGGTGTTAGGAATTTTTTGTTTAGCGTAATGGTTTTGAGATTTGTCCATGTTGTTGTGTGAAGCAGTAGTTCATTCCATATTGTTATGTACTATTTCATTGTATGAATATACCACAATTTGTTTATCCATTCACCTGTTGTAGAGTGTTTGGGTTGTGTCCGGTTTGGGGCTATTGTGGAGAAAGTGGCTATAAATATTCACGTACATGTCTCTGTGTTGATATGTGATTTTATTTCTCTTGGATAAATACCCAGGAGTAGACTAGGTGGGTCATGTGATAAGGGATAAAGGATAGTACCATATTACATTGTCCCAGTGTAGAATGTATGCGAGTTCCAGTTGCCCCCCATCCTCGTTAACACTTGTTATTGTCAGGCTTTTTAATTTTAGGCATTCTAGTAGTAATGTATCTCTGTGGTGTTAATTTGCTTTTCTCTGATGAATAATGATATTGGGCATTCGTGTGCTATTGGCTATTTGTGTATCTTTCTTTCCATTTTATTTATTTATTTATTTTTTGTGAGGAGGATTAGCCCTGAGCTAACATCTGCTGCCAATCCTCCTCTTTTTGCTGAGGAAGATTGGCCCTGAGCTAACATCTGTGCCCATCTTCCTCTACTTTATATGGAATGCTGCTACAGCATGGCTTGACAAGCGGTTTGTTGGTGCGTGCTTGGGATCTGAACCTGCGAACCCCAGGCTGCCACAGTGGAGTGCGCACACTTAACCATCATGCCACTGGACCAGCCTCTCTTTCCATTGTAAATTTAGGATTTTATCTTTTTACTATCGTGTTATAAAGGAATCTTGATATAAATCATTTCTCAGATATTTATATTGTGAATATTTTCTCCAAGTCTGTGGCTAGCTTTTTCATTTTTGTAACAGTGGCTTTTAAAGAACAGAAGTTTTAAATTTCAGTGAAGTCCAATTGACCATATTTTTTTAAGGTTTATGCATTTTGTGCCTCCTATATAGGAAATCTTTGCCAACCTCAACTTCACAAAGCTTTTTCTCTTATGTTTCTAGAAGTTTTACAGTTTTAGCTTTTATATTTAGGTCTATGATATGTATTGATTTAATTTTTGTGTGTGGTGTGAAGTAAGGTTTGAGGTTCATTTCTTTCCATATGATGTCCGTTTGTTTCAGCACCATTTTTTGAAATTACCTCATTGAGTTACCTTGGCATCTTTATTGAAAATTAATTGAAATATATGTGGGTCTATTTCTGGACTTCATTCGGTTTCACTGATTTGTGTGTTTGTCCTGACTACTGTAGCTTTATACTGAGTCTTGAAATTAAATAGTTGAGTCTTTCAACTTTGTTCTTCTTCAAAAGTATTTTTACTATTTTGTGTCCCTTGTATTTCCAAAGAAATTTTAGAATTTGTCAATTTCTATACGGAAGCCTGCTGGCTTTTGATTGGCATTGCACTAAATGTATAGATTAATTTTGGGAGAGTAGACATTTTAACAATATTGAACTTTGCAATCCGTGTGCATGATATATCTCTCTATTTATTTAGCTCTTCTTTGATTTCTCTTAACCATATTTTATAGTTTTCAGTGTAAAGGTCTTGAACATGTCTTGTTAAATTTTTCACTTAGTATTTCATGTGTTTCGATGATATTGTAAATGTTATTTTTTAACAGCTTTATGGAGTTATAATTGACATACAATAAGTTGCATATATTTAAAGTGTACAATTTAAGTTTTAACATATGCATATATCCATGAAACTACCACCACAATCAACATAATGAACATATACATCACCCCAAAAGTTTCCTTGTGCCCCTTTGTAATTCGTCTCTCCTGCCCCTCCCTTCCCTTCCCTGCCTGTTCCTGTCCCCAGGCAGCTGCTGATCTGCTTTCTGTCACTAAACATTAATTGCATTTCCTAGAATTTCATATAAATTGAATTCAACATGTTATTCTCTTATTTGTCTGGTCTTTTTTACTCAGCAAAATTTTTTTAAATTCATATGTGTTGTAATGGTTTAATTCATATGTATCAGTGGTTTAATTCCTTTTTATTGTTGAGTAGTCCTCTTTTGTGGGCTTATCCTAGAATTCATTTATCCTTTTCTTGTTTTGTTTTGTTTTTTTTGTGAGGAATATTGGTCCTGAGCTAACATCTATTGCCAGTCTTTCCTCTTTTTGCTGAGAAAGATTCGCCCCGAGCTAGCCTCTGTCCCCATCCTCCTCTATTTTGCATGCGGGATGCCGCCACAGCATGGCTGGATGAGTGTTGCGTAGGTGCACGCCTGGGAACTGTGGGCCGCTGAGGTGGAGCGCGCGAACTTAACCACTATGCCACCAGGCTGGCCCCTGTTTATCCTTTTGGCCAGCCTGTTTATCCTTTTATCTGTTGATGGACATTTGGGTTGTTTCCAGTTTTGGGTTACTAGAGATAAAGCTGCCTGAACATTTATATACAAATCTTTGTATAGACATATGCTTTCATTTCTCTTGGGTAAATACCTAGTTGTGGAATGACTGAATCATCATTGTATATGTTTTACTTTTTAAGAAACTGCCATACAGTTTTCTAAACTGGATGTACCATTTTGCATTCCCATCGTAAGTGTGTGAGAGTTCTAGTTCCTCCATCTTCACAACAGTTGGTATGGTCATTTTAATTTTAGCTCCTCTAGGAGGTGTGTAGTGATATCTCGTTATGGTTTAATTTGCATTTCTCTAATGACTAATGAAGTTGAGCATCTCTTCTTGTGCTTATTTCCTGTTTATATATTTTTGATGATCAAATATATTGCCCATTTTTTAATGAGGTTTTCTTATACTTGAGTTTTGAGAATTCTTTATATATTCTAAGTCCTCTATCAGTTGTATTCTTTGCAAAGATTTTCTCCTAGTAATGTTACTTTTCTTTTCATCCTTTAAACAATGTCTTTTGAAAAGTTTTTAATTTTGATTAAATCCAATTTGTCCATTTTTTCTTTTAATTACTGTGCTTAATCTTTGCCTATCCCAAGTTTTTTTCTGTTTTTTATAGAAATGTTATACTTTTAAGTTTTACATTTAAGTCTTTGATCCATTTTGAATTAATTTTTGCATATGGTGCGAGATATGAGTCAAAGTTCTTTCTTTTTTTCCAGATGGATATACAATAATTTTAGTACCATTTGTTGAAAAGACTACCGTCTCTCCATTGAATTGCCTTTTCACTTTTGTGGAAAATCACTGCAATGTGGGTCTAATTCTTTACTGTCTATTTATTTTTCCATTGATCTTTTTGTCTTTGTGCCAATACAGTACCACACTGTCTCGATTACTGTAGCTTTATAATAAATCTTGTTCTTGGGCCAGCCCGGTGGCGTAGCGGTGAAGTGCTCGTGCTCCGCTGCGGTGGCCCTGGGATTCACAGATGTGGATCCCTGGCGTGTGCCGACGCACTGCTTATCAAGCCATGCTGTGGTGGCGTCCCATATAAAGTGGAGGAAAATGGGCATGGATGTTAGCCCAGGGCCAGTCTTCCTCAGCAAAAAGAGGAGGAATGGTGACAGATGTTTGCTCAGGGCTAATCTTCCTCACAAAAAATAAACAAAATAAATCTTGTTCTAACTTTGTTCTTTTTCTGAGTTGTTTTGGCTATTCTAGGTTATTTGCATTTCCATTTGGATTTTAGAATTAGTTTGTCAGTTTCTGCAAAAAAGCATGCTTAAGGTTTTGATAGGGATTGCATTGACTCACTAGATCAATTTGAAGAGAATTGGCATCCTAACAATATTGAATCTTCTGACTCATGAACGAGGTATATCTGTCCGTGTATTTAGATCTTCTTTAATTTCTCTGAGCAATGTTTTGCAGTGTTCAGGGTACAGATCTTTTACATCTTTTGTCAGATTTATTCCTAAGTATGTAATATGTTTTGATGCTCTTGTAAATGGTATTGTTTTGTTAATTTCAATCTCTGATTATTTATTGCCTAGTATATAGAAATACAATTGATTTTTGCATATTGATCTTTTGTCTTACAATCTTGCTAAACTCACTTATCAGTTATAGAAGGTTTTTGGAGATTCCGTTGGATTTTTTTACCTAGATGAAGATGTTGTCTGTGAATAAAGACTTCTTTCTTTTCAATCTGGATGCATTTTATTTCTTTATTCTTGCTTGATTACACTGGCAAGAACCTCCAG